TAAGATAGGGATCAAGGATAAATAACATATGAACTCCTAGCGAAAAATGTGAAGTGAAAGGAATCTTACCCAAAGTAACATTGAAACCCTCTTTAGCTAGGACTTCATAATGTTAACAACCTAACACTAAAACACCAAATTCTGCAATCCCAGGAATATCTACTTATTAGAATAGTCCCAAATCCTAATTAATATTAACGCTGTTTCTTTACACTCTTGATGTTGCATCAGTATTTCTCCTAGAATAAACTTCCTAGATTTGATTTTTCCATTATTGGCACTGAATCACCTACATAAAACATCACCGGATGTGCAACTGATTAACATGATATTCCTGCTGTGAATATGCAGCTGAAGGATTGGAATTTGGTAATAGTGTCTACTGGATACGATTTGATGAAGAATTTTCTGAAAAGGTGAATTCTTTATCTCCCTTCTACTGCAACTGCATGGTCTTAGAGATACATAAGTTGAGTTAACATGCATTATTTGAAACTTTGCACATACATCCAATTTTAACAATCATTTTTTCATTTGTTTCAGAAATTTAAATCATCTAGCCCCTTTGGTATCAAGTACCAGTTTCACCTGGAGGTAAAATTGATATCTTAATTGTTTTTATCATTCATGTTTTTTCTTTTTAGTTTCCGTGACCATGGCTTCTTGACATGGATTGCAGGATTTTAATGCGCTTATACTACTTTTTCGTAAGAGATTCTATTCAAAGTGAAAAAAATATTTGACTTTTCTTTCAGGATGCTGTGGATTGCCCTGAATGGATTGTCCCCTTTCATGTCTTCAAGTCATTGGCAGAAGAGGTAAAAAAGAAAACCATTATTTTTTAGGCTCAGTTAATCTTTTTCTAGGTACCGAGATATATCAACACGTGAGGGATTGGAGTTTTGGTCCTTGAAATCTTTTCACAGGCTTTGATATTGTTAAGGTCTTTTGCATGCCATTCAAATGTTTCCCTCGTTATAACCTCTATTACACTAAATATTTTGTTATTATTTGACTCATGTCAGTTACCACTGGGATATACATCTGGTTTAATTCTGAGCCATGCCCTGTCAATCTTTTACAGTATGATTTGGAGCTAATTTTTGTGAAGAACTCACATGAATTTGTGCATGACTACATGAAAAAACCGGAATATGTGGAGCTCATGCGAAGGCTTGGTGCCTTGGGTGATGGTAACCAAGACAGGAGTAAGTATTACCATAAACTTCTCTTTCCTCCTTATAACTGCCTAGCTGAGTATGGTTCCAGAATTGAGTATTTCTTCATGCATGTCATGCAAGAGCAGTTCTTTTTATGATGTGGGCTCCAAGATTACATGTTTTTTAGTCTATTTCATCGAAGGGCAAGTTCCAATAATTTTTAATTTTCTTGTCCTCTTTGTGGACTTCAGCATGTAGCCTTTTCATGGATATATTATTTTTAGTTTGCAAAGGAATTAGGAATCTGAGTCTAATACATTAATCTGTCTCGTTGTTTTCCCTTTGGAGGATACTGTATCCTTCAAATTTCTATGCTCTTCCTCTCTTAATATAGTCTCCTTATAAATTCCTCGCCTGGCATCAGTGCAAGTTGCATATACATAATTACTTTTTTTAATAAAAAGTACGAATATATTAACAATGCACCAAGAGGGTGCTACCCATTTACAAAATAAATTTATATATTAGTCAAACAGTCAATTATATACCCAAACCTATAGAACTTGCACTTGAGCTACTACTTTTTTCATGTACTGATGAGCTACCCTAAGGAAACATATACATAATTACTCCTGCTTTTTTCATGGATCTTACCACTGTTGAGCTACAAATGCTTTCTGATATTCTACTTTCTGTTTCTTTGCTTTTGTCATATTCAGGCACACTATCCCCAGATGAATGGGAGGCAGCTTATTTATATCTTTCATTTGTCTTAAAGAAGGTAAATGTTCCTCTCTCTGTGGCTGGCAACAATTCTTTAATTGTTGCTTGTTTGTTTTCTCGTTGCCCTTCAAGTTTCCTTCTATATTTTCGTATTATAGTCTTTCATTGATAACAAAGAACAATTGCATCATATCCAGCGAGGCCAACCAGATCAAACACAAAGAAGGGGGAAGAGAGAAAACGGGAAGATGCACATATCAAGGGAGGATATCTTGTACATAAATAGTTGAGTTTCATGAAATTCAAATAAGTACTAAGATTCATTCTCAAACAGGATTAGCCAGTGGTTAGAACATGGAACCCTCCTTTGACCAAATTGATTGTGCCTTTTGACAACCTTCTCTTAAACTGTGACTGTTCATTTTTTGTAGATTAAAGAATATGTATAGTGATATTGCTTTCAGTCACGGGTTCTAAGAAAGCCCTTCTAATGGTACTTTCTTGTATTTGGATGTTGAGAAATAAAATTATAGAGTTGAGATTTTGATAGATAGCGTCATTATGAAGAATTGGAATGTTAAATCTGCCTTTAGGGTTTTTACTCCTGCCATGTAGTGCAACCTTTTTGAGAGAAATGTAACAATCAAAGGAAATTTCAGCGTCAAGTTAGCCCCTTTTGATTATCTTTCACGAGTTTGTACTTTTACTATCCAAAGCCAAACACATTTTACACTTTGTGCAATCTTTTACCAAGGGTGAAAAAAATCAATCATCTGGCCGAAAGGCAAGCAATGATGGCGATTGGAAGGTTCAACATGGTTCAGTGCATGTTTGATTCTTAATTCAATATTAAGCTTTATTTATATATTAGTCTTAAAAACAGTAATGAGTATTCTAGTTGAATGACTTGGACAATTAAGAATTATAAGTGTAAGTAACATAAATTAGCGTATGGCTTGTTAAAATGTGAGAGCAAAAAAAAGAAGAGAGCATTCATTACTTTGAGAATGAACAATAAATTTACAGCCAAATTCAGATTAAGGGAAGGGGAAATGATTGTCCTCACAACTCTAGTCAGTTTACTTAAAGAGAAATCCAAACATCTCTA